GTGCCACTAAAAGGAACAATATCAATCATCCTTTTTTGTTTTTCAGCACAGTTGTAATATCATACAGTAGACAATTGCACTACGTTAAACCATTCTTTCAAAAAGGCAAGTTATTTTAAGAATTTTAAAAATGGTTTTTTATTCATTAATAAACAAATATAAATTAGCACATTTCTTAACGAAAATTAAAATATAAGCAATTTAAGCTAAATTGGGACAAGTATTTTTAAGTCTTCTTTTATATTGGTCGCTTCGCGTCCAATAACTAACTATATATTACTAATTTTACATCTTATACAATGTATTGTCTCAAGACTTAACACTGATTTCGATTAACGAAATTTATATCTCAGGATGAAAATCTCTTCCTTGTCAAATTTAATAACTACAAAAAGCTTCAATATATTCTATATAAGTGACACAATGATAATAGTTATTTTCTGTGGCGACTGACTGCTGAAAGTGCAGAATGTACGTAATCGAACAAAGCTTCGATCTTGACCAGCAACATATTGAATAGAGTTTTTTTAACGCCAACTGTTTGTTTTTGAAATAGTATAGAATTGCGAAATAACGGGAATGAAAATCATCCTTAAAAGAGTACAGTATGTATTATTCGAAATAACTAACTAACGCACGGGAGTTAGAAATAACGCGTGTAGATGTAGTACAAAGCTATTTTAATGGTTTCACATCAATAAAGAACAAGATTTATTCAAGAAAATGTTATTCTGTTTCAACAGGTTTAGTTTGTGCTTCAAAACCCACCTGAACATTGTCCTAATGCACATACATAAAACTTGGTTTCGAACTATGCTTATATAATGCACTAATAGTTATACTTTGCCTGATCAAGCTAGTTTAAATTTGTTCTATTTAATATAATTCATATTTATATTAATTCATTTTTAATTTCTTACTCGCGATCGTATCTATAAAATAAACTTTGAGAATTGACTTGTTATTATGTATAACTGTTATCATTTTCTATCGCTATCAAATAATTCAATAATAATAATAATAAGAACGTTATATATATAATTGCAAATTTAAACTTACCGTATTTTATGCAATATTAGTAAGTCATAAAAAATATAATACGTATTGATGATACGTATTGATTTCGAACTTGATTCAAATACAAATGCTATAATTAAATCATGTAGTTCAAAAAAATTCATGCTTAACTGGTTTAGTTTCAAAAGAAACGAACCAGTTTGGGTAAACAGAATAACATCCTAATTTATTAACACCACAACCATAACGATAAATTACTGCCGGGTTATGTATATCTTTTAATTGGTACGTATTATCATGCTGTATGTAGCCAATATTACATAATCTTTTAATACCAATGAAAAAATTGCTCGTGCACTTCATGCTTAAATTTTTTTTTTTAATTGTTTATTACGATATTCAGACGTTGCACATGGTATATACTGTATATCCGATATGCTTTTATATTTCCGATTCGCTGTAATAGTATAACCGACAAAAAAAAGATTTGTAAAGTATAGCTCTAGCAAAGATACAAGATATAATATTAGATTTGTAAAGTATAGCTCTAGCAAAGATACAAGATATAATATTATGATTTATAGGTTTTATATGACGGTATAATTTTAACAACAAATCTGCTACTTAATAATGTAAATAATATACTTGCAGTAATATTAAAAAATAAAAATGCATGGAGTTTCATGGTAAACAAAGGACGATCGTGTGAAAAAATAGGTATCCGAAACAAGTTCCTTTTTAAATTAAAATATAACAAGTTTCGTCAATAATGCATAAACTGTCATTGTCTTAAAAACGTTATCGGGGTTGAGTTTGTTTGTTTCAATACTGCAAATAGTTTCAATATTGATAATATTGATACGTATTAATCTTTTCACATTCAATTTTATTCAATTTCCATTATCCTTCATTAAAATATTATAAAATATTATAACAAAGACTTAAATGACACCGAGTGGAGAGATTGGTTACAGTTTCAGTGTTAGTTTGCTTCATACCAAAATAAGTCTTCAAATTCTTAAAATTTTTTTATACACCAAATCTATCAACTTTATCATTGATATTCAAAACCAGTCGCACAAAAATGACATAAAATGACCGTACGGTTACTCTCAAAGTTACTAAATTTATTCCATTATTATGTTACTTTTTTTGCGATCGCTGTCATCATGCCAAAATTAGTATCACCTAAAAAAAGTCATATAAATATTTACATCCTGACGTTCACAAAAATACATTAGAGTTTTAAACTTAGATCCGTTGCTCGTCACCTGTCTCTTTCCCATACCCTAGTTCTTCAAAACAAATGTCCTTTTGTTAACGTTTTTCCTGTCCTTGAAAATTTTCCTGTAACCAAAAAAAAAAAAACCAAAAAAAAAGAAAGATACTTTTTTTTCTGGCCGTGCCAGTCCAAGTGTTTAAAAATAAGCTATTTTTTTTTTCTTAAAGTTATTAAAGTTCTCGATAAGCTTATACCTGAAACGAAGAGGGGTTAAGTTAAAAACGAGTCTTGTTAACTAGCTGTAGATCGGCATTTGATAAGAATAATCTATATATATATATTTTATAACTTATTTATATATCTATATATATATATTCATCATATTCTTTCAAAGTATACTTACAAATTAGCATAATTTATCAAAAATGTATCTAAAATCAACTCATTCAGTTCCTACTGAAGGTGGTCATGAATGGGAAATCACTTTATTCTGCAGCACTGAAGCAAATACAATTGCTACTGTCGACATGTCTCCGAAATCTCGGGCTTCAAGGGTTGTCCCTAATGATGCTAAGCCCGCTCCGACGGCGTATTCCATGAAATACATTTGTTCAAAATTTGAGGATCCCCCAATGAAGTTTAGTGCCGTTATAACTTTTAAAAGCAAAGATAATAAAGTAAGAAAAAAAATTTTAAAAGTACCTGCTAATATAGCTACGGACAGAAAAAGGAGGAGAGAAGATGGGTTTGAAGATGAAGAATATATAGAAGGAGAAGAAGAAGAAGAGCAACATGCTGAGGTGGATGAAATAATAAATGAGAAGGTGCCGTTGCCTTCTCCTGCTCCAAAGAAAAAGAAGAGAGCTTTATGCAGTGTGTTTTCGAAAAATAAATCCATCTCAGAAAAGGATGACGCTCCGCAAGGATGTTGTTGCATCATCATGTAAAACTAATTATTGTATGTAATTATTGTATGTAATTATTGTATGTAATTATTATATGTAATTGTATGTTTTCATTTTTTCAAAAAATTTCTTTACAAACTAAATTAAATTCTCACTCTCTTACGAATCTTCAATTATCTAGTTGGTTATTCGGAAAAAGGACATTTTTATTATTTCAATTAACGAGCTTCTAAATTTAATACTCTCGCAAAATTATTTTTTACTGTCACATTATCGTTCTTTATTTGTTCACAATAGATATTCTCCCTTTTATTTCTTTCCATATTCATAGTCACTTATCCGTATTGTACACATTTATTAATAACATATATCATAAATTTCGTTTATTAATGTTTATTAATACATTCAGTATTAATACTTTTTAAATAGCAAAATTATAGTTTTTTTTTGCATTAATTTCTTACGTTTTATTATTAAGGGGTGATATGTCAAATATCATGTAACTTTTTCTTACCATTTCTTTGACAAAAAGAAACAATAGTGTAAATCTGGCCTTTCGGTTTACGTCCCCTATAATAAATTACGAGCTTTCACGTAGCTTTGTATTCAAGATAACATGCGTCTTTGTCTTTAACCTCAATGAAAAACAAATGTTTCATGCAGGTATCAAATATTTGTAAAGGTTTACAATACTATATATGGTCGTCTAAAATTCTGACATTCACTGCATAATCCGTCATCGTGTAACTTATTAACCACGTTTACATACGTACGTACGTACGTGCGTACGTATGAATTCTCAATTTGCTCATTTTAGCAATAATTTTATTAA